GAGCACTTGTAAGCAATCCAGTTCTTCTCCTTATATGGAGAGGAATTCTGGGAAGCCAGTCTATTCACTGGCTCCTCCTTCCACAGCAATCATCAGCTCTATTCTCAGCAGAATCATCTTTGATTTCCTGGAAGTCACCTCAGTCCAATTTTTAAGTGTGGTTCTCTAATCAGATGATGTATTGAAATGTATCTAATAATAAGTTGCATTTGAGAATAAAATACATATAAAATGAGAATCTGGTGAAAAAGATATACAAAAATATGTCTTTAAAGGAATATAGAAAGCATATTTTATAAAAAAAAATACTCAAAATTAATGTTTTCATAACAGTGCAGGCTCATTTTGAAATAACATGAACATATATTTATGGATAGGTACAAAACTAATTTGAGTTGGAATCAAACAGTTAAATCCATTCCTGTTTGGGCCTCACTTCAAGGTTGACATGCATTTATGCTTTGAAAAAACATTTGAAATTTGAGACTTTAGTGTTAATACATATAGATTTAAAGCTGTTGCATGGGTCTGATATTTATGTGTGCTCACATGCAGATATATGTATATCAGTGTTTCATCAAAGAATATATCTGCAATACCATGCACAAAACTAGATGTAAAAAGGGGGAAATAAAACTAATTTCAGATTGCACAATTCAGCTGAGGATAATTTCAATATTTTAATTTTAATAACTCATTTTTTCAGATTCTGAAGCTAGCTACATACATGGGATTTGTTGGTTTTCTTTTCCTGTCATGAAATATATGATTAAACCCTTTCAATGTAATTAGTTAAGCAGTTTTCCTGAAAAAATATTTACCTCTTTACTTTTGGCAAATCTGCTAAATATACTTGTTTAGATTATTTCCATATATGTGAATTTATTAAATTCTATAAATAATCAGCAGCCACCCTTTGTATTAACATTTTTGATGTGATAAATTAATCATTGTCCATTTACAGCAGAAAGATGCAACTGTTTCTTGGCTAGAGTCAGGCCTTGGTCTTTGAGCTGCTAGAGAAGAAAACTATATCTGAATTCATTTTGATTATAATTAAATGTAATTAAAATTAAACACACACACAATTATTACTATCCAGTCATGTTTGTAAAGTCTCTCTCTCTTTCTTTCTTTCTTTCTCTCCTCACATTAAAAGCCACATTGTAGTGACAGCTTTTGGAGGTCACACCATTTACAGATTTTGTGTCCCTGTGTGCCACATGCAGCAATTAGTTCTCAGGCAATGTACTGTACCTTTCTCTAATAGGAAACATTTATGTGGCAGGAGCCAATGATCAGTGCAAAAGGACATATTTCACATGCAGAATCTCTCAACACAATTTGAGGAGTTCACTCCCCTGGCAAAACACTAACCACACTGACATAAAAGTGCTACATTCACATTGTTTCTGTGCAAACATAGTCTACATCCAAATTTAGTTAGAATTAACTTCAAAAAAAAAAAAAAAGAAGGCTTCTAATTAGGAGAATTACACAGCATTATTTTTTCAATTGATTGATTGATTTCATGCCTGCAAGTCAATGTTGACTCCTGGAAACTGCCTGGACAAGTCCCTGAGGTTTTTCTAGCAAGATTTCAGAAATGATTTATCCTGGCCTCCTTCCCAGGGTTGAGAAAGAGGGACTAGCCCAAAATCAGCTAGTTAGTTTCATGTTATTGATTTAAAGTCAAAACTGGTTGCTATTCAGTTTTGATTTCAGTAGAAACAAGGACATTGAGCCTGAATTAGGCAATAGCTAATATTTGCTTTCATGGATTTTCGTCATGATATTACATTTAAACGAAAACAGGCATTTTTTAGGATAGTCACAAAAACGTCTGTAGTGAATATCCTATGGATATTTGTGATGAGAATTTGAATCTTAGCTCAAAGTTCTGCCTCACTAATCCTCAATGAAGGAATCTAAGATGAAGGGGGAGGGGGATGATTTAAGGCCATTCTGTCAAGAATTTCGATACCCTATCTCTGAGATTCCTTCAGAACACAATTTGTATCTACAAAACCATAAACAAGAATTGCTAAGTATAATTATTCATGAATGACCATCCAATTGATCAGTCTTCGTAAAGATTTGCAAAATCCTTCTTAGGGATAAAATTTATGTTGTTGACAACATCTGCTGTTGAAAATATCAGCCTGGAATACAGATATAGACAAATCTGTTGTTGAACAAAATACCACATACTTTTCCTTGCCTGCAGAGCCAATATTCTTGAAATATATCTTTAGATCTTATGCACATCACTGATTCAGCTGGTTCCCCCTGATAGTAAGATCACATTTTCAGAGAGTTGATGAATAGTATGTTAGTCAAGACACTCATTAAAAATAAAATAGCATAACAGATAAAGACCCTTTGTTATAACTATAGTTTATCGCTCCCATAATGGGTGCTTATGTGGTTAACATGAAATAAAAAGTGCTCATAAATCACACTATTTAATATTATTAATTATTTATATTATACCTCAGACTACAGAGCAGTTTTTAGCTGTGCAGGTTTGTGCCATGCTCAGAACCATAAATTGTTTATAACAATCTGTTTCCTCTAAAGCATTTATACTACAATGTTAATATAAGATATTATATGCAAGCTTTACTGATTAAACAGCTGAAGATTTGGCCAAAGGGATCTTTCCAAGAAATTCACTGTGTGTGTTTGTGTGTGTGAGTTTATATGTGTGTGTGCACACACACATGCTTGTTTGTCTGTTTGTGGTGTACGTATGTATGTATGTATGTATGTATGTATGTATGTATTACCTAGAAATGTTCCAAAAAATTATAACAATGATATCAATTACTTTCCTACATCACCCTCAGCATAGAGGAGATTGCCAGATACATTAACCCAAGGCCACAAGGTAAACCCAAGGTACACTTGAAGTTCAGTCAAATGAGTTTTGAGGGGCTGCTGTTCCATAGGGCAGGCACCACAACACACAGGGTCCACATCCACTATTTACTGGATGGTGTTGCTTAATTGATAAAATCTAAAGCAAACCATCTTGCTTTGTACAGAATAAACAGATAGTGTGGAAAACCTAAGGCCCCTCAGATAATTAGTCCCTATGTCATGTAGGGCTTTATAGGTAATAACCAACTTCTTGAATTGTATTTGGAAATGTATTTGTAATCAGCACAACTCACAAAGAAGACATATTATATGGGCATTGTAAGATCTGTCCATCATTGCTCATGCCACTTAATTCTGGACCAGTTGTAGTTTCTCGGCAACAACAGCCCCATATTGAATGTGTTACAATTGTTCACTTGCAAGGTAACTAAGACCATAAATAGGACCTGTCAGTCCAAAAATGGGCATAATTGGTACACGTTGGATTTCTAGAAATCTGTTCCTCAACCAGGAGATGAGAGCTGAGATAAACTCCCAAACAGGGTAGTGCTTCTCCCTTCAGAACCAAGGATAACTAAGTCCCCAGAACCTGGAGGTCCAAGAATTCCATCAGTCACTCTTGCTATGTTTCAACCATCCCAGGTAAACCAGATAGGAAACACAATTAAATGAGCTAAATCTATTTCATTGTAAGGCTATACTAACAGGATCCAATCCAGGTCTGTCACCAGGACCAGAGATTTAGTCTTCAGAGCTTTTGGACTCATGCTGGAGCCTATCCGCAGGGAACTTCTCTGTAGCAGAATGTGTACATTCTGCTAGAGAGAGGTTCCCTGAGGATGGACTCCAGCATGAGTCTAAAACTTGGAAGACTAAACCCCTGGTCCTGGTGACCAACCCAGATTTGATCTGCAACATTACCCTGGGACATGTATATTTGCCTTCAATGAAATCTTGGGATGAGAGAGATTACTTTCAGACTTGCCAGATATTTTTAATATAGCCATACAATAAATGTAGAGCTAGTGCTGCTGGTTGTGCTCCTTATCTGGATTACCTCACAAGGCTATCACAATACAAACTCCATTCTTTCAAACCTGTAGGCCAATATTTCACACACAAGCCAGAGGGAAGGTGTTTGTGTTGCAATGCCATAGCACATATTTGCTGCAATGCCATAACACATATTTAATCATTTGTCCAACTCCTGAAGATATGTCTGCCTTTATAATATGAACATTTACTACAATAGAAAGAATCCCCAAAAGCAGGTGATTAAATAGAGTGGTCCTTTGTCCCAAAGGTGCTTTTTCAAGAGGCAACTGGACTTGCTTGTTTTTCTTTGAAGTGGTCCTTTCCTTCTAAATCCTAGCCAGACTCTTTCTCACACTTAGATATGCTAAGAACTCAACTTGGTATCTCCAGTGTGAATTTGAGATCTTTTTCAAGCCAAACAGAACTCCATGGGTGAAGCTTGGTTTTCATAGTCAGAGACAGTTGTCCATTTACATTTGTATTTAACACAGAGAGTTGTGTCAATGGCAGTACATAGCCAATGGAAAAGTGTGTGTCCATGTTGAAACTCCTTTTGTGACTGAATATTTTGAAATTTCCTCTCTGATCCCCACTCCCAATACAATGGATAAGCATGTCAAAACTTGTTTCCTTATACCCTTTATAAAAACAAATTGCAGGTTTGAAATGATAAATCTTTCAATAAAATGTAAACAACTGGGTTCACAAGGTGGTTTATAAAAGAGATTCTACTCTAGGTACTACAAATTCTTTCTGATTTGTTTTTCAGCTGAAATAGCAAAAGATAGCTCTCATGAAATTTTCATATGTTTTTCTTCAGTCAAGACGCCTAGATAAACACATATATGGTGAAAAATTCTCTCCTTTTCTCTCTGGATGCAGATTAAATATACAGAATACAGCGCACTTACTGATAGCTTTCTGTGTAGAAAGAATATAGGTAAAATCTTTTGATGTTATAGTTTGCAACATCTCACTGTAAATGGATCACGTGCACTAAGCTATAATTCTTAGGTTAGTTAAAGGATTATACATATTGTATTAAGAGTATTTGCAAATGTAAGTACCAGAACTGTGCTTACCTGTGCTGTCATCATAAACCACTGTGACAGTTTTCCACTTGAAGAATTGCACAAGGTCAAGGATGGCACGACTGAGTGAAGAAAAATCTGGATAAAGACTGACATAAAATGAGTCTTTGTTGTCTGAAACCTGATGCTTCCAGCGAGTCTGTATATGTGGAACCCCCAGTGCATTGCAGATGGATTGCACTGCATTCGCTGAAGAGCTATGGGAAGGGCCAAAGATAGCTGCTACTCCCAATGACAGCTGGTCACAAGCTGAAAAAAAGAAATGCAGTTTACACTACATAAAGAATAAGCAATAATGTTTAAACTCTTTTCAGAAGGAGGGAGGGAGGGAGGAAGGAAGGAAGGATATTTAATTATTATTCATGTTAAGAGAGTCAGTTTGGTGTAGTGGTTAAGGCATCAGGCTAGAAATTGGGAGATTCTGAGTTCCTGCCTTAGGCATAAAGCCAGCTGAGTGACCCTGGGCCAGTCAATCTCTTTTAATCCTAGGGAGGAGGCAATAGCAAACCACTTCTGAAAAAAATCTTACCAAGAAACCTGCAGAAATTTGTCCAGGCAGTTACTAGGGGTCAAGACTGACTTCAGGCAGTCCTCGAGTTACGAGTGTAATGGAGCCTGCCTATTCCACTCATAACTCTAAAACTCATAGAGTGAATCTCATTCAAGGTACGAGATCACTCCCTTGCTCATTAAAATGCACGCAGCTCATTAAACGAACATGAATATGGGTGGGGAAGGCCATGGAGGGCCTAGTGCTGGAACAGGCTCCCAAGGCCTCCCCAACCCACTAAGATACCGCATGCTTCCCCCTCCCTTCCTGCTGCACCAGACTCACCTGGAAAAGATTCATCTCCTCTCTGCCGCAGTTCCTGCTGCTGTCCAGATTTGAGGCTGGGGAACACTTTTGCGCCCTCCCCGCCACCCGATCCAGGCTCTGGAGGCCTTTTCCAGGCTGCTGTCACCCGGATTTCAGGCTGGGGCATGCTTCTGCGCACCCTGCGCAGACCGATCTGGGCTCCGGAGGCCTTTTCCAGGCCCGATCGGGTTGCAGGGGGGCTGCAGAAGCATTCCCCAGCCTCAAATCCAGGTGGCAGTGGCCTGGAAAAGGCCTCTGGAACCCGGATCAGACTGTGGGGGGCATGGAAGCCTCCCCTGGCCTTAGATCTGGGCCACAGCAGCCTGGAAAAGGCCTCCGGAGCCCCGATCCAGACTCCAGAGGCACGTGGAAGCATCCCCCAGCTTCAGTTCATTCTCTGTTGCACAGAACAGAGGCCTAAAGTACCATGAGATCACACGAGATCAGTAGTGTGAGATCTCACCCCACTGATCTTGCATGGTCTTCTGTTACTTTAGGCCTCCATTCTCTGCGAATGCACCGAAGGCCTGGAGCAGCCAAGAAAGCAAAGTATCTCAATCTTTGCAGGATGAGTATTGAAGGCCTGGTGCCTAGGGAGACCCAGGGCGGGGGTGGGGAGGGAGGAAATAACCAGGGTAAATGTTGCAGAGCCACTGCAGTCGCTCGTAAAGGCGAACGACTGCTGTGGTGCTGCAATATTCATAACTTCAGGACTTGCTCATAAACACTAGGGGGCGTTCATCATGTAACTTTGAACGAGTGTTAAGTGAATGCTCGTAACTCGGGGATTACTTGTAGAAGGTACCAAAGGAAAAATATAGTGTCCAGCCACATAGGTACATATAGAGCTATTAATTATTATAATTCTATGCCATTGAGTCGTTATCAGCTCCTTGAGACTAGATAGATAGATTCCCTCCATAATGATCCAATCCTAACATCATTTTTCAGTTCTTCCAATGGGGTAGTTATTGCTATTTTAACTCTCTACCTTGCTGCTGGTTATCTGCAAAAATCTAGACAGCCATTAGGTTTATAATTCCAAAATTACACACTGAAATCTCCAAAGGAATAGCCATATTGTGTGTCTTTTTTTTTTTTTTTTGCTGTTGTCTGGTCATTATCTGTATTTTTGCAGATAATGATCCATTTGGGTTTATAGGTTGTAGCATTGCACCATTTATAAGAAACAGATATTTTCATTAGCAGGACTGGAGGGACAGTTTTTCAACAGATTCCCCATCTCTGGCCTGATGGTATTTCTATACTATATCTTTACAGATATTCCTTGAAGCTGGTGTATTTCTTTGAATACCTTGAAATCTGAAGTAGGGTAAGAAGAGTTCTTAAAATTATTTTTTTTCTATTTCCCTGAAGGAGATAAAAATACTTCTATCCACAAGAAAGCTAGAAAGAAAGCATTGCTATATTTATGATGAAGATGTATATAAAAAAAAAAACCTGATTATTCTGTTTTGTGTTTTTTTTATTTATACTTTTATTGCTTTTAAAATAATGATAGAGAAATATTTCTTTGACAATGTACGCATTTTTATCTTTTGCTTTTTTCCTTCTATTTTGTGTTGGTTGAACAATCATATCCAACAGGCATATTTCAATGATTCCATGTCAAGCTGGAATGACAAACAGCATAACACAGAACTCCATCGTAGGACTTTGCTATTCAACAAATTTATAAACTGCTTGGATGATGTTAGAAAAAATGTCACCAAAAATGAAAATTTAAAGTATTATTAAAATTTTAAATGATGTAAAGAAGCAGAAATAGCAAGGAACTTAGAAAAAGCAGAAGAAATGAGCAGAAACCATTTAAACCAAGTAACCAGAAACCAAGTAAGATAAATTTCATCAGGAAAAAAAGCAGAACCTAACTGTTAAGTAGAAAATATCAAAGACATAAAGGGGATTGTACTGGACAGCCAAACATGTAAAATCAATCTATATATCTTCGATCGCAAGCTGAATATCAGCCACCAGTGTAATATCCCTGCAGGAAAGCATATTTAACCGGATCAAAAGACATCATTTTTCATTTCCACTTTGCCTCGGTCAGATCTTGGGTAAAATACTGCATTCTTTTCTAGGCATTGCAGTTTAGTGGGGACATAAAAACTTATCCAGAGAAGATTGACCAAGATGCTAACAACTTTGGATGCAAAACTTGTCAGAAAGCATTGAAGATAATGTAATTTTTTACCCTGGAAAACAAAAGATCCAGAGATATATGATACTTATTTTAAGATATCTGAAGAACTGTCACATAGAGGGCAGGGAATAGTAGTTCAGAGTTGTTCCAGAAAAGTTTTAAACTATAAGAATTCAGATTTCAGTTTGACATCAAAATGTCCTAATAGCAAAACTTGTTCAAAAAATGGAACAGATTGCCTTAGAAATTCATTACTAGGATCATGTATACTGGAACGTCATGTCATGTCCCTTTTTGTTTTAATTGTTTTGTCAATAAAATTTTTAAAAATTAAAAAAAAAAAAAAAAAAATTCATTAGAAGGTGAATGAACTTTCCTTTGCTTGGAAATATTTACAAGTTGAAGGACCACCTGTCAGGAATGATGAATAAATAGGATAAAGAAGGAATTTTTAAAAAATCAAACAGCATATCAATGATATCTATCTCACAGCTTTTTTTTTTCCTGAAATTTGCCTTATAGTATTACAAGCCTGAACATCCATCACTATTAATCATGTTGACTGGGCTTTCTAGAAGTTTCAGTTAGTATTCTCTGAAGGACTCAAGTTCCCTCCTCTTGTAGCACTTAATCATTTAAACAGCAATATAATTAAATGCAGAAGATGGTCAAATCTGAAGTTTGGGATGCAAGAAATCCCACATATTAAATGCTGCATCAGAAAAAAAAATTTTTTTTCATTCCTATATGGCTTTGAAAAGCCTTGATCTATACAAAAGGGATTGTTCCAACTGATCTTAAGGGTCAGGCAGATTAATATGACTGAACAAACCTTTCTGAATAAAAAAATTTCATTTTGCTCACCTCTTTTTATAGTCATTCAAGAATGAATGAATAATGGTTGCTTAGCATTTTGCATCCCTGATGTGTGGTAGAAACTGCAACACACATGTGGCACTTCACTGAGATGTATTTTGGTCACGCTGGCCTGGTGTGAACTCTCATTAAACAGATTTCTGGATTTGCTGACTTTGCTTGCCTCTTTATTCTATTAAACATTTAAACTACCCGAATGTCTGGCAGCCAAGCTCCAAGACTTTCTAAGACATACCTTTTTTAGATGCTTCAAAACTATCATAGAGATTAATTTTCTGAGTGTCATATGTTAGTGTAGTATTTGGCAGCAGGGTTCTGTTTCGGTTGATTGTGTTCACAGCAAATCGGAAGGCCAATTCTTCTGCTCCCATTGCTCCAGTTGGACCAGATTCCACACATTCAAAAATACCCCCTAAAAAAATAGAGAGAGAGACACACACATCAAGAACATTTTTTTACTTAAAAGTACATCTAAGGCAATCAAACAACAAACCAATGGATCAAACCAATTGATAGCAACTATTCAAGAAAAGAAGCAACCTAGAACTAAGGAGAAATTTCTTAACAGTGAGAACAATTAACCAGTGGAACAACCTGCCTCCAGAAATTGTGGGTGCTCCATCACTGGAAGTATTTAAGAAGAGACTAAACAGTCACTTGTCTAGAATGGTATAGACCTTTTGCCTTTTGGGCACCAGGAACTGGTTCAGTGGACTGCAGGGAGCGTGGTTTTGCGTACTGCATCCCGTGGATGGGCCTTCACTTATTTGCACGACACAGTTGCTGGCATGCCATGGATTGGTGCTGATCCATGGACTGGGGGCTGGGGACCCCTGGGATATAGGGTCTCCTGGAGGAGTTGAACCCTTCCAGTTCCATATTCTTTTCTGTTATTCTGTTAACAATACTGGAGACCTATCCTTCCTTCCTTCCTTCCTTCCTTCCATGCATCCATCCTATAATTTCTACGCAGGGCACATAGCCAAGGTAAAACTTAGTTTATGACCTCCATATCTGTCAGCTGCAAGTAAAAAAAATAAATGCATACATGCACATATGCAAGAAAGATCACTGAGCCATAATATAGTTAGGCTATGGAATAATGCCTCTATTGTGGCTAGAATATCAGTATGGATAATTGTACATTCCTTGTTCCTTCATCATCAGGTTAAAGATCACTCATTTGATATCTGTATTATCTTTTAGAAGGTAAGAAAAATTGTACAAGATCAGAACAACTCTTAGTAATCTCTCCTCCTTAGAGAAACTAGGTAGTTATCTGTGAAAAGCCCACAAACAGATAATGAATACAAAAATTTTCTCTTGCCCATATCATCCAGCAATTAGTGTTCAGAGACAGATGATTACATTATCTTCCCTAACTCTTTTTGAACTGCTTAAGTTAAAATCCATCCTTATAACTTGTACCATCAGATTTCAAGGATTAAGGATGCACTTTCTTTTATCCATGCTGACTGTCTCACTGTTTCACTTCATTAGATAAACTTTTGAATAACAAAAAAAAAAAAACTTCACAGGCTTTTTAAAAACAGGATTGTATATTGTCTTTAGAACCTTCTTATTTGCATCAAAGCTGCAAACTTGAAGTAATTTGGAATAATACAACCAAATAATACCAAGATGTAGACGTAAAGATTAATGTTTCATAAGCTCCTCTGATAACTTCTCTGTCATCAAAGCTGCAAATAGCATTGTAAGCTGATAAAAATAAAAGTTTAACCACTTAAGATGGAATTGATTAAGATCTCACGGCGTTTCAAGAATTAGGACAAGATGCTAAATACCCAGATAGAAAAACCTCAAAATAATCATTATTCTGTTCTGAGAATGATAATTACAACTTATGCTACAGACACAACCAATTACATTCTCTGCAAAGAAAGACCAATTATGCAACAACAAAAAAGAGAAGGCTGAATGGCGGAAAAATATGATGCGACCATAAGAGACAGCCTAATAAGGGGTGAATAATGGAGAGGGTTACATTCAAGAAAGGATTCTGAGGAAGTCTATTAGTCCATACAAACTTTGCTAGATGTAGGAGATTAAGAGCTGGAGCACATTCCCGACAGAAGGAACCAAGCCTCTTCTTAAAAACTCAGATGGGGGACACCTTTAGGCTGCTGATTCCATTCTTGAACATCTCTCAGCTAGGTGGAATCTTGCTTTTTAAAAGGTTTCTAATTGTCAGAAGAATATTTTATAAGAGAGAATTCAGACTGCAGTCCTCTGCCTACAATCTAAAATAGCACAAGTCAGATAAATAGATACTGCTTGACCCTACTGATGGTATAATCTATTCTTGAGTTACTAATTTAATGGGCTAAAAAATCATTGCCACTAAGTAAGATGTCCAGCATAGATCCTCAAATAAGAAAAGTAGCAATAAAGTTTCCAATCTACAACAAACTTACAAACCTATGGGGTTTGGGGTTTAATAATAACAACAACAACAATAATAATAATAAAGTTGGAAAGGACCTTGGAGGTCATCTAGTCCAACCCCCTGCTCAGGCAGGAAACCCTATACCATTTCGGACAAATGGCTGTCCAGTCTCTTCTTAAAAACTTCCAGTGTTGGAGCATTCACAGCTTCTGGAGGCAGGTTGTTCCACTGGTTAATTGTTCTAACTATCAGGAAGTTTCTCCTTAGTTCTAGGTTGCTTCTCTCCTTGATTAGTTTCCATCCATTGCTTCTTGTCCTGCCTTCAGGCGCTTTGGAAAATAGCTTGACTCCCTCTTCTTTGTGGCAGCCCCTGAGATATTGGAACACTGCTACCATGTCACCCCTCGTCCTTCTCTTTATTAAACTAGACATACCCAATTCCAGCAACCGTTCCTTATATGTTTTAGCCTCCAGTCCCTTGATCATCTTGGTTGCTCTTCTCTGTATTCTTTCTAGAGTTTATTTTATTTTATTTTGTCTAACAGCTGTGAAGAGTTAGATGTGGGAGATATTTGATTTACAGTATCAACTTTAAAAATTAACATTCACAAAACTGGCACTAGCCCACTAAAGATAGATAGATAGACAGATAGACAGATAACCTTTATTGTCATTTTTACTGTGGGCACAATGGAACACATTAAAAATGAAATTTAGTTGCTTGCTTTCAAAGTGTACATACATACATAACACACATTTAAACATACTATATACAACATATATATAGACCTACACCCTTACATATAAGTAACATATAAATATTAATCACTGTCCATCTTGTATACATAACGGAAGGAGGAAGCTGTCAAACTTCAACGTGTTTTCAGTGTTAGCTTTCACATACTTATGCTCTTTTAGGCTGCGTTTTTCTCTGCATTCAGGAATTCTACGTGTCATGCACAACATTGATGCAGCTGCTCTTCCAAAAAAAACAGCTCTGAGGATCTTGTGCCAGGGATTTATGTTGCACTAATATACATACTAGTGGGCAACTTGCAGCCTCATAGATGCATACTATCCCTGAACTTGTTTTTAGGCTCCTAGAAAACTTATTTTTCCTGTAAAGTATATAGATACAAATAATGAGAGGATTCCCATTCAAACAAGTTCAGGCTCTGAAAGGGTTAAAACAGGGGTGTCAAACTGCCGGCCCACGGGCCAGTTTCATCATACTGGAGCCACGCCCACCCCATTGCTGGCAATGGCGAAAAAGGTCCAATACGTCGTGCAATGTCACGTGACGTTGCGAGTTTCACATGCCTGGGTTAAAAGAATACATGATCTGTCAGCCCAGATAAATAGGCAGCAACTTTCAAAACTCATAAAAATCAAACATGAAAGAGCCAACCTAAAAGAGGGAGAGGCAGATCTACGGACTCTGCTTATTTACTTCCTTTCCTGTATCTCTTCCCAAACTGGCTCAAAGGTAAGCAGTGCCACCATCCACAGGATGGGTTAGAGATCCAGGGAAAATCCTATCACATTACAAAATAGTGGAGCTAGATGCTTTTGAGAATTCTGGCTCTTTTTTATAGAAAGAATATTTCAGCTGTAGTACTTTTGCTCTACATTGTTTTGTGTAGATGCATTCATGTTCCTGGCTGAAAGCATTGTTACTTTCTCTTTGTCTCCCTTTTCTCTCTCTTTTTTTTTCAATTCCACTTTAGCTCTTTAACCTTCATATGCACAATAAAGCCTTGAATTTTGATTGAATCAGTGAGTCTCATTCTGAAAGGATTTTTACTTTAGCACATACATCTCCCCATACAGTTAGGCTACAAAAGGAAGAAAACCAGGATAAGATCATTGCCACCTTGCCACTTCATCTACTCCTAAATAACTCGGTACTAGAGAGGATTTTATTGGGGAAAAGTACCAAAAATGCTCTTCTCAGAAGTAGCATTGATTAAGGGGGAAGATGCTAGAAACCCATATCAAGAGTCAGAGGGACCAATCCATCCCAAGTTAGGTTTCCTTGCTTTTGCAGCCACATATTAAATGCAATTTTGGTTTACAACCACTTTGAGCTGGAAAACCAACAGTAACTATAAACCTTCCTACCACAACCTACTGTAAGTACCTAAAGGAAACAGAAATTGACAGAGATGGCTAAAAGAACCTGCTAAAATATCATTTGGGTTCCTGCTGAAATGGCTGAAGGATTCCTTTAATAATTTTCTGAGAAATTGCATCTTTTAAAATATGGCGGAAGGCCACTCCATGTCGACTGCAACATAATGAGTTTAATTAAATGAGCTGAATTAGAATTTCATAAATGATACTAATTCACTGATTTTAAAATAGCTCTGAACTTGGGTAGGGAATAACATCTAGTGGTTGATTGCTAGGCCTCAAGCTTGAAAAACATATTAATCTAATCATATCACTTATCATAAAAATGAGGCAGAGTCAGAATTAAATATCCTGTCTAACTTTAGCAACACCTTCCACAACTTTGCTAAAGTGAATGTTGAAATTTTTATATATATTTAAAAAAAAAACACAAAATAAACAAAAAGAGATTTTAAAAACTCATAAGAAAAAGCATCCTGATAGCCCCCATTTCTTTTTCCTTCTCTCCATTTTTCCCCCAGATGCTAATGGCTACTTAAACGTTTTTACACTGCCATTTTGGACATCTGCAATTATTGCTCATTTCTACTTAGGTCATTTGGATTATTTTTAAACAGTTTATCTTTTTTTCTTCAAAGAAAGCAGTCATGTTTCTAGAGACAGAAGATTTATTCCTAACTGGAGGATGAAATTTCACCTCTTCTTGATGGATCCTTGTCTGCAGTGGCACCTGCTGTTGTTAGCTGAAAAGATTTCAAGTGGAGCTGACTAGTCATGTTTTTTTATACCTTATAATGTCTACGCATTGTATTATAGGATATAAAAAAATGTTACCCACATCCCATTGCAGTGGCTATTGTGTCTGCTATTAA